GGGGACAGGGACGGCGGGATGGGGACGGGACGGGGACAGCGACAGCGGGATGGGGACAGGACAGGGAACAGGGACAGGGGATAGCGGGATGGGGACAGGGGACAGGGGACAGCAGGGATGAGGACAGGGGACAGTGGGAATGGAGACAGGGGACAACGGGGACAGGGGACAGCGGGATGGGAACAGCGGGATGGGCACGGGACAGGAACAGGGGACAGTGGGGACAGGGGACAGCGGGGATGGGGCAGGGGTCAGGGGACACTGGGGACAGCGGGAATGGCAAGATGGGCACAGGGGACACTGGGGACGGTGCAGGGGTCAGGGGACAGAGGGGATAGGGCAGGTGACAGGTGACGCCGGAGACGGCAGGATGGGGACAGGGTGACCCAGTGGTTGTGACACTGGGGACAGGGTGACACGGCCGTGGTGACACGGTGACACGGCGGCGCCCGCAGGGAGCAGATCCACACGGAGCCGTTCCTGCACCTGCGCTACGAGGGCACCGACTGCGCCCTGATGGTCTCGGCCCGCGGGCACCCCGCGCACCCGGGCTCCTGCGGCGCCGGCGACTTCCTGGGTGCCTTCACCGCCCGGTCAGTGCGGCCTGGCCCGGGGCCAGTGGCCTGGCCCGGTGTCACCGGTCCTGTCCCAGTGCCACCAGCCCTGTCCCAGTGCCACCAGTCCCGTCCCAGTGTCACCAGTCCTGTCCCAGTGCCACCAGCCCTGTCCCAGTGCCCCCAGTCCTGTCCCAGTGTCACCGGTCCTGCCCCAGTGCCACCAGCCCTGTCCCAGTGCCAACGGCCTGGCCCGGTGTCACCGGTCCTGTCCCAGGGCCACTGGTCCTTTCCCAGTGTCACCAATCCCGTCCCAGTGTTACCAGCCCTGTCCCAGTGTCACCAGCCCTGTCCGAGTGCCCCCAGCCCTGTCCCAGTGCCCCCAGTCCTGTCCCAGTGCCCCCAGCCCTGTCCCAGTGCTACCGGCCTGGTCCGGTGTCACCAGCCCTGTCCCAGTGTCACCAGTCCTGTCCCAGTGCCCCCAGTCCTGTCCCAGTGCCACCGGCCTGGTCCGGTGTCACCAGCCGTGTCCCAGTGTCACCAGTCCTGTCCCAGTGCCATCGGCCTGGCCCGGGGCCGCTGGCTCTATCCCAGGGTCACCAGTCCTGTTCTGGGGCCATCAGTCCTGTCCCAGTGTCACCAGCTCCATCCCAGTGTCACCAGCCCTGTCCGAGTGCCATCAGCCCCATCCCAATGTTGTCACAGTCCTCCCATCCCAGCACCCCAATCCCCTCTCTCCATGTGTCCCTGTGTCCCTGTCCCCGTCCCTGTCCTGCCGGTGTCACTGACACCCTCCTGTGTCCCTGTCCCCCCCCGTGTCCCTGTCCCCCTGTCCCTGTCCCTGTGTCCCCGTCCCCGTCCCGCCGGTGTCACTG